GGGACCAACGAGCCTACTGTTGGTCCGGTTGGGATAAAAGAGAGGGAAGGAATATATAGCAGGAAAAAGGGATAAAGGAATGGGTTATGTGCGAGCCCGTAGGCCTATCATTACCGTCCAGCGATGGTGTTACACGGAAGAACCCGTGGACCCAACTAGTCGGCCTCACGAGTCGGCCTCACGGAGGTCCGAGGACCTGCATAAGCGCTTAACGGCCCTGAGGCCCAGCGGTGAAGGTCGGGAAGTGTTATGGCCGGAATAATGGAGGCACGCTGGCCTTGCATAGGCGCTATGAACGAAGATTCTACACTGAAGAGAAAGGAAAGGAAATGGCGCTCGTCGCGCTGGTGCGACACGCGCCTGAAGTGTCGCGATCTATGTGGCTTGTATCTGCCCCACATGCCCCACAGCGGTGGCGGTGCCACTGGTCGTATGGCCTGTGGCGGGACCGTCACACTACCCCCTCCCAAACCTCGTATCGCGAGTGCCACAAGTGATGCGAGCTGGCAGTCAGTTATGCCGTAACAACCTGGTCCGTCTCTTTGTTGTAACCTTAACTGGCACGTTGTCGTCAGGATGATCTGGGTCAAAACGGTCTTCGGCTGCTGCGCGCATCCATTCCGCCAATCGTTTCGGTGGGCCGTCTGCCTCTGGATATAACTTGTGAAAGTCATCTAGGGCTACCGGGGAGTTCTTAAAGTTCGCGGCGGGATACCAAGTGTCATCCGGGTCGTGACCCCGCCAGGCTGCTTGGTACTGTAACTGGCGTCGTGACACCCGTGAGCGTTCGATTCGTTCGACTTCGTATTCGGCCTCTCCGTCGATGTCCTCTGGCGGAAGCGGAGTCTGATGCTGCTGAGGCAGCGGGTCTGTAGATGCTTTGCGGAGGCGGTCGGCGTGGAACAGGTTCTTGACTTTGTAGTTGCCGGGCAAGTCGAGAACATAGCTGTGCCCTTTCACCTCGAGGATGCGGAAAGGTCCTGCGAACAGTGAGTTAACCGGGTTGTCGGGGCGGCCGTTGAGAAACCCTTCTTCCTGAGGAACACCAAGTCGTTGATGTTGAAATCCACTGGCCTGCATTTCTTGTTCGCCTGGTTCTCTTGCCGTTTCTGTGTGGCTGTCGCGCGCTGCTTTGCCAAGTCCTGGACCCCTTTGATACGTTTGACGAGGTCGCATGCACGTTTTTCTGGGTCAGAGCCATCGGTTGATACGTCGAGATCAAGCGAAAGGGGGTCTCTCGCATCCTTGCCCATCATCACTCGAATCGGGGCCATGCCGATCGTCGAATGCCACGACGAGTTGTGGGCAAAATCTAACGCGGGGATGTGATTGCTCCAATCCGATTGGTATTTGTCGACGTAAAAGCGTAGCCTTTGATCCAGTTCTTGGTTGGTGATCTCCACGGCACCCTGTGTTTGCGGATGGAAAGCTGAGCCGTGACGATGTTTGGTGCCTGTCAAAAGGTTGATCTTTGCCATAAACTTCGAAATAAACGGACCTGCGTTGTCGCTAATCCACACGAACGGATACCAAAGAAGCGGTAAGGGTAACGATAGTACCGCCCTGCTAACACCTCGGCCGTGTCGGACTTTTTTCCTGGAATCGTGGCGATGATGCGGCTGAACTTGCAGATGAATACCCAGACGTAATCGTACCCTCGCTCGTCTTGGGGCATGTCCT